TATAACGAAGTCAAGAAATTTTTTTACGAAATATGTTTTAATACATGATGTAATTTAAGTTGTACTGAAAATTAAAATAATCTCTTCATACATGTGGTTTGTAATATAAATCCTACTTATAGAAAAAAGGTTTTATGAATAAGTTAGAATAAAAAAATTAATCAAAAACAATCTAATGACCGAATATATATCTAGGAATATCCTTTTTTTTGGTTCAATCATCATTCATTAGAGTACGTATTAGTTATTGTATATCTACAAAATTACTTGTTATTGCATTTATAACTACTCAAATTTTCATCTTTTTACTTTTTAACCTTATTTTATTTTTTATTGTTGTTGTAAGTTTCATAAGTAGGGTAACACAAGGGTAGTATTGGAACAAAAGTTTTATCTTTCTCACATTTCTTCCAAAGAGGCTAAAATGTTACAAAAAATGTCAATCCGAGGGAGGTAGCTCAGATTCTGAAAACCTAAGCTGTGCTAAGTCATATTATGAGAAATGTCTTGGGAGGTTCCTGAAATTATTCATTTATCCTGAAATGAAGTTTTCACAGTTCTCTGTTAAAAGCACCAAAAGAAAAAGTTTCTTGTAATAGTTTGTTTTAACAAAAGTAAAAAACAGTGTTTCAATATACCAAACCACCTTTTATTACCACATGTTGAGCTGCTTTAAGAAAATCTATACCAACTTAGAACAGAAACAAAAAAGGAATCCAGCAGGTAAATTAAGTACCTATCAAAAATTAGAGCCCTCAAAGGTCTACCATTAGTATCATGAGGCGGGGGTATCCTTTGAACAATTGCATTTAGGATCTCAGTGATCCCAATCCCTTCCTTGAAACAAGAAAAAGAATGATGCTATTAAAGTATTAAAAAAAAAAACCTGAGAGTTTTCAAATTGTAGAGTTTCTCATTTTAATTAATTATCATTTGACAAGAAGAATGCAACAAGAAGAAAATAACCAACCTTTGCAGAGCAGTAAATTGCATTGCTACAATCCAGACCAATAACCTATCAAAGACAACCTGTTAGTTAGTATTCATCAAAAGGTCTGACCACTAAAAGCTTCGATTTTATGGTATTATTTCCTGACAGCAGCCAATAGTAATAATACTTAAAAGTACAACCAAAATGAACTGTGAACATTAGTAACAATACTGTTCAACAAGCAATACATGCTCAATACTGTTTGACAAGCAATTGAAGATTTGTCCTGCCCTAGGAATTATAAAATGCTATGACATTAATGCAAAATAAGCTAATTTTCTTGCCAGAACAATGCATATGCAATTTCATAAGCATCACTCAGTGAACTGATTATCTCCATGCTTAAGAGATTATAGAAGGATAACTCAAAATTTCAGTTTCTTAATGGAATATAAAATATGAATATGTCTGTCAAACTGAGGAAAATTTATTTGAGAAGCTTTTCCAAGAGTCTCCAACTCAATACTACTATTAAGGTGTTCAGACTTGATAATCAAGCCACAATGAAACAAGGACATGAATTTTTCCCGAAGGATGAGTACAAGACTCCAATTGTTTTAGTAGGAAGCCCAAGTCCCACTGAACAACATAGGGGAACCAATGGTTTCAAAACTAACTAGATGGCAAACCAGGAAGTTAATCGGTTTCCTGGTTGGCTGACCAGTTCACTAGTTGACTGGTCTGACCATTTTAACCGGCCAGGTGAATCACTTTTATACTTTGGAAATGGAAAAGGTATTCCCCTTATATTTGTCCAAAATGAAGAAAATCACAGAAAACATCCGCATGGAACACATACTAATATGTTTGCAGTTTAATTGATCTATACAGTGTGAAACTTATGACCAGTTTTCATGTCAAGTTTGACTTGACAGTGAAACCAGAGCAACCAGATGACAATTTCCCAGTTTAACCAATTGAAACGGCAAGTCCCATATGACTTTTAAGCACTGAATATAATAATCTCAACAAGGAAGGAAGAAACAAAGTAATGTTGTGCTTGCTCACAAAACCATAGGTCACACCCATGGGCCTGTTTAGTGCATTGTATGGTCTAGATGGTGGAGGGTTAAAATGAACACCTAATAGAGACCTTAAAGCAGAGTCAGAATAGTTAACGTGATGGAGTTTTAACAGAGGAATTGCAGGGTTTGTTTAAAAATTTTTCCACCAAAACAGCTTCACTTTCCAATTCATGGAAAAAAAAAAAAGGCAACCGTTATTTGAGACTGAACTGATGCTTTGGTCATAGTGGAGGCAGAGTTGTTTGGAGATCGAAATTTCAGCAAAAATTTGGAGGACCCTTTATAATTTGATTGTTGTACATGGATTTATGTCAAACCTTGCAGGAATTTAGAGCTCCAGTCATTACGCAGGTGCTGTGGAAGGCGAAAGAATATATAGTTTTGAGGGGATGGAGAATCCCAACTGGAATATTAGCATTGAGAGACAAGCTCTTGGATGTTTAGGGGGCAGTTTCACAGTAGCATTATACCGTACGTATTATCTGAAACAAGGAAAGAAAAAAAGCTGTATCTGCATATGTTTGCAGCTGATGAAAACCTTTCATTTCATAAAAATTTCCTTATGAACACCTTTCATTTCAGATAAGCAATATTTTGCCTTTGTGAATCTACCTCTTCTATCTCTTGGGATACACGATTTGGTTCTGCTCCTGGAAGATCTATCTTGTTCAAAACCTGCAGAATATCATTAGCTTTTGTGGATCAACCATCTAATTTCATTCAAACAAGACATTATGAGATTACACAACAAATACTTCTGAGCAAGAGATGAATTAGCTCCTCTGTCTTCCAACAAACAATAATTTGAGTGCTTTAAAAGGTAAACCTAAAAATTTTGTAACTCGTTTTAACATTGTTGGACTTCAAGGTTTAATTGGCAAATCAAGCTCAACATCTAGCTATAAGAAAAGTATGAATTAGGAAATTAGGCCATGAAGTAAGTTACAACGTACTTCTCATGACAAGAGTACCTAAGGAAGCAGTACCCTATGACTTCGTATGCTTCGATCAATCAGGCATGCAAACCAACAAAATAGAAACGCCTATAAATAAAATGACCACCACCACTCATTCAATCTTTGATACTTCTCACACTGTAAGAACTGTGGTGACAAGAGTAACTTTGTGCACTAACAAATGGGATAATAATGAGTAGAGGTCACTAATTATGAACATTACAATGCATGGACATGTCACGATCAACAGCAACACTGGGATGTATAGTACGCAATCAACACAGAGTTGGACGAATAGTACTATGAAAGTAAATCACTTCATACTATCAGATTGCCTTTTCTCCCGAATCTTTGCTCTGGCACCATGTCAGAGGACTTAAGAGGAAAAAATTCAATACACCCAATAAGGTTGACCTACCTATATTCATAAAAATGGAACATAATAAATATGTATAAATATACCCTTATTCTCAGCCATGGCAGCATCTTTTCATTCTAAATTCTTGCACCCGTGCATAAAGAACTCACCAAGGATACCAAGCATGGTCACTGCTCCTCCTATACTTGCAGATGAACCCACAGAACTCACCAAAGACACCAAATATGATCACCAAGGACCTAATATTCCCATCGTACAATCAGACCAATGTAACAAGACCAAATCCTCTTTACTCCTATATGTTCATAAATATACACCACATCTTCGCATTAAACACGCAATGGGAAGCCATAAACTCCCACAAGGAACCCAGAGTTCTTCCCAAGTCAGAAATTATTCCCATGGCAAATGACAATAAGTTCCATTTCTTCAACTATTACACTTAAGCTACAGGAAAAGATGTGGAACTCATGCCAATCAACATGTATGTAGACAAATATTGCTATCCACAACTATTAATATGTATAAAGTAGCAATTCCCACAGATTTATTGTGCCAGAAAACTACACAATAATGGTTCAACATATATTAAAGCATACTGTGTAATACTTATGTAATTTGCATGTGCATATATAGCAATCTTAGATCTAAAGTAGACAACTTTTAATTAGGAAACTCATAGTTGACTTCATTCTTCCCCTATAAAACTGACAAAACCTCCAAAACTCTCCAGCTTCCTATCAAAAGCTACTTGAGCCACTTCCAAAATCTGAACTCTGCTTAAGACAGTGAAGTAGCAGAAACAACATACATAAAGTGGTTTATTTGCAGAGGGGCTAGCATAATCTGAGTAGAAGACTTGGAACCATGTAACTGATGCTTGTAGAAAACTCAGGGGCTAGCATAATCTGAGTAGAACACTTGGAACCATGAAACTGATGCTTGTAGACAACTCACCACCAGTATCATGTAGGCCCTGGTTTTGCCAAAACAACTCCTACATCTCTTTTAATTTATTTAGGTATTTTCTTTTTCTGGTTCTAGGGCACACCAGTTTATTGGCTTGGGCTATGCTCACTAAAATCCTGTTAATACAGAACTTGGGCTATAATGCACATATATTTCATCAGCCAACACATGTAAATACTTGCCAAAGATAATTTAAATGATTTGCAGTAATAAAAGGAAACAATTTACTAGAAATTAAATAGGAAGCAAAGAAGCAATAAATTAGAAAGGTTCCAATGGGAAAAACAATTTGTTTCCTTTTGCACGGTCATAGCCATGTGCCTTTTCCTAGGACTTCAACTTGTTATATTAAATTCTTTTTATTATTCTTTAACATAATATTGAGGAATATAGCTAAGGTCTAAATCTATTCAAATGTAAGTTATCAGCTTATCTAACAGAATGAACTGGGCAAATAAAGCTGACTTTGAATCAACAATTGGAAATTGTTAGGAGAATATTAGTATTCTTGTAGATAATATATTAGTAAGGGTATTCTTGTAAACAGTCCGTTAGGTTTGTACTCCTATAAATATTAGTTGGTCACTCATAATACGGTGACTAGATGTTTTCCTCCCAAGATACCTCTTTACATGGTATCAGAGCAAGAGTCCTAGGGTTTAAATTAAACATCTAGCAAAAGTACTGTTCACGCGTACTGTTCACGCGTCTCGAGTTTTGACCCTTTCTTGGGTTTGAAGTGCTATTCGCTATGGCTGAAAGTTTATCAAAAAGTATTGTGACGTCCACTAATATTATGCCAATGGTGATGCCTCAAATCACAAATTGGAAGTTGAATGATACCAATTATCAACAGTGGTCAAAAGCTGTTAAGATTTATCTGACAGGCTTAGGAAAGCAACGTTATCTCACAGATGACTCTCCTACGGAGGATAGCAAGAAACTAATGTGGATTCAAGAGGATGCCCAAATTCTTGGAGCAATATGGAATTCTATGGAGCCACGAATTGCTTACATGTGTTCTCATTGTGAGACAACAAAAGAAGTTTGGGATTATGTCCGGTTATTATATTGCAGTAATCTCTCACGGATGTTTGATATTTCTTTGGAGTATTTTCAGTTGCAACAAGATAACAAGACAGTAACTGAATACTTTGCTGATCTTAAGCGAGTCTCAGAGGAATTAAATGTTGTAATGCCTCTCTCAAGTGATATCAAGGTTATGCAGAGGCAAAGAGAACAAATGCTTGTGCTCAAATTCCTGGCTGGTCTCAAGCCGGAATTTGAACCAATCAAATCTCAAATTTTAGCAGGTGAACAATTACCATCCTTTGCAGAGGCGTATGCTCGGGTCTTACGTTCTGCATCTAAGGACAATGCACAGGGTGATGGTGCTTTAATTAATGACAAATCTGCTTTAATTGCTAACAATAATCGGACAGAGCAACTTAATTTTGGACGTGGCTCTCGTGGAGGAAGAAGTAGAGGAGGTCGTGGGGGTCGTGGAGGTCGAGGCACCCGTGAGTGCAATCATTGTGGTTTAAAGAATCACACTCGTGATACTTGTTGGGATTTAAATGGAAAACCACATCGGTTTGTTAATACGGTTACCACTGATCAAACTGAATCAAGTTCTTTAGCACAAGGATCTCAGAAGACTGTTACCATATCTGAGGAAGATTATATCAAATTTCTGCAGTACCAAACTGCAAATCACGCATCTCTTCCCTCTACTTCTGTAGCACAAAAAGGTAATGCTATGGCTTGTCTCTCCACATCATCTAATTTTGACTCATGGATCATTGATTCCGGAGCTACTGATCATATGTCAGGTACCTCTAGAAATTTTTCTAATTTTCAAGAGTCTACTTCCTTCCCTCATGTTACTTTAGCTGATGGATCTACAACTAAAGTTAAAGGACTAGGCACTGTAGAAATTAACTCATCTCTTCCGCTGCCTTCTGTTCTTTACGTTCCCAGTTTGCCTTTTAATCTAATGTCCGTTAGTAAGCTTACTAAATCTCTACAGTGTTCAGTTATTTTTTCTCCTGATTTTGTTGTCATTCAGGATTTGAAGACAAAGAGGACGATTGGTGGAGGACATGAGCATAATGGTCTTTACTTTCTCAACTCTAATGGTCCGATTGCGTGCCCTGCTACTGTTTCTCCTCTTGAAATTCACTGTCGTTTGGGTCATCCGTCTCTACAAAATTTGAAGAAGTTGGTCCCTACCTTGAGTCAGTTGTCTTCATTAGAATGTGAGTCTTGTCAATTAGGAAAGCATCATCGTGTTTCTTTTGTCCCTAGGGTCAATAAACGGGTTTCGGAACCCTTTTTGTTAGTTCATTCTGATGTTTGGGGTCCTAGTCGAGTAACTTCAAAGTTAGGTTTTAAATATTTTATAATCTTTGTTGATGATTTTTCCAGAGTTACATGGCTTTATTTAATGAAAGATCGTTCAGAATTATATTCCATTTTTTGTGCATTTGTTACAGAAATAAAGACTCAATTTGGTGTGCCTGTATGTATACTTCGCAGTGATAATGCGAAAGAATATTTTTCCACTCCTTTTGATACCTTTATGACTAAGTCCGGTATTCTTCATCAGTCCTCTTGTCCTCACACTCCACAACAGAATGGAGTTGCTGAAAGAAAAATTGGACATTTAATCGAAGTTGCTCGGACACTTTTGTTGCACATGAATGTACCCAAACAATTTTGGAGTGATGCAGTTTTAACTGCATGTTATTTAATTAATCGCATGCCATCCGATATTCTTGGAGGCCAACTACCTCACTCCATTCTTTTTCCTCAGGACCCTATATTTAAATTACCTCCTCGTATTTTTGGTTGTGTGTGTTTTGTTCATCAGCTTGCTCCCGGGGTGGATAAATTAGATTCTCGTGCCATTAAGTGTATTTTCTTAGGATACGCACGAGCGCAAAAGGGGTATAGATGTTACAGTCCAGTTTTAAATCGTTTTTTCACTTGTGCTGATGTTACTTTCTTTGAATCCACTCCTTATTTTATGAAGCAAGGTATGTCTTGTGAGTTAGACCAGTGTTCCTCTTTTTCTCCTCCTATTTTACCAGTCCCTTCATCTTTATTACCTGAGTTATCGGGTTCACCAGATTCCACCACTCGATTATCTCATCCTAATCTTCAAGTTTATTCTCGTCGTTCCATGGTTGAGAAAGCTCCTGATATGCTACGCACTTCACCAATTAACTCTCAATCTTCAGATCCAGGTATGACGCCCTCTTGTGAGTCAGATCTTCCTATTGCTTTACGTAAAGGTAAGAGACATTGTACTTCTCATCCTATTTCTAATTTTGTCTCTTATTCTCGTCTCTCTCTGTCATATTCTTCTTTTGTTGCATCTCTTGATTCGGTATCCATTCCTAAGTCTATTACCCATGCTCTCAATGATCCTGGTTGGAGGTTAGCTATGCAGGAAGAGATGCTTGCTTTGGAGAAAAATGGTACTTGGGATCTTGTCCCTCGTCCTTCAGGTAAGCCTGTTGTTGGTTGTAAATGGGTGTACACTATAAAGGTGCAGCCTAATGGTTCTATTGATAGATTGAAGGCTCGTCTGGTAGCTCGAGGATTTACTCAGGTGTATGGAGTAGACTACTTAGAAACATTTTCTCCTGTTGCAAAGATTACCTCGGTTCGCCTTCTTATCTCTTTGGCAGCAACTTACAATTGGCCATTGCATCAGTTGGATGTGAAAAATGCATTTCTGCATGGAGATTTGGAAGAAGAGGTATATATGGAACAACCTCCTGGATTTGTTGTTCAGGGGGAGAATTCGCAGTTGGTTTGTTGTTTGAAAAAATCCTTATATGGATTGAAACAGTCTCCAAGGGCTTGGTTTGGCCGGTTTAGTAGTGTGGTCATGGAGTTCGGTCTGACGAGATGTGGAGTAGACCACTCTGTATTTTATGGGCATTCTAATGCTGGTAAAATTTTATTAGTTGTTTATGTGGATGATATTGTGATTACAGGTGATGATGTTGTGGGGATCCAGAAACTTAAATCCAATCTGCAGGCAAACTTTCAGACAAAGGATTTAGGTCATTTACAGTATTTTCTGGGTATTGAGGTAGCTCGGTCTAAATATGGGATTTATTTATGTCAAAGGAAATATGTACTCGATATGTTGAGTGAAGTTGGGATATTAGGTTGCCGACCTGTGGATACTCCTATGGATCCCAATGTGAAATTAGCAAGAGATCAAGGAGCATTACTTGATGATCCTAAGCAATATCGAAAACTTGTGGGTAAGTTAAATTATCTCACTGTAACGAGACCTGACATTTCATTTGCAGTGAGTGTTGTGAGTCAATTTCTTGATACTCCTCGTACTAGTCATTGGGATGCTGTTATACGAATTCTCAGGTATCTTAAGGGTGCTCCTGGAAAAGGGTTGCTATATCAAAATCATGGACACACTGATATTGAAGGATATAGTGATGCAGATTGGGCCGGTTCTGCCTCAGATCGAAGATCGACCACAGGATATTGTGTGTTTGTTGGTGGTAATTTAGTGTCGTGGAAGAGTAAGAAGCAAACAGTTGTCTCCAGATCAAGTGCAGAATCTGAATACCGTGCTATGGCTCACACTGTGTGTGAGTTGGTTTGGTTGAAAAGCATGTTAGTTGAAATTGGGTTTGAGTATAAACAGCCTATGAATTTAGTGTGTGATAATCAGGCGGCTGTCCATATTGCGTCTAATCCAGTGTTTCATGAAAGGACAAAACATATTGAAGTTGATTGTCATTTCATTCGAGAGAAATTACTTGATGGAATCATCAAGACATCTCATGTACCGTCTGCAGATCAATTGGCTGATTTGTTTACCAAGAGTTTAGGGGGCTCTAGGGTGAAATACCTTTGTAACAAGTTGGGTGCTTATGATATATATGCTCCAACTTGAGGGGGAGTGTTAGGAGAATATTAGTATTCTTGTACATAATATATTAGTAAGGGTATTCTTGTAAACAGTCCGTTAGGTTTGTACTCCTATAAATATTAGTTGGTCACTCATAATACGGTGACTAGATGTTTTCCTCCCAAGATACCTCTTTACAGAAATTTATAAGAGGAACCCCTAAAACACTAAAGTGCACTTGACCAAAAAGAGGGAAAAGAAAGAAGGGACTGCCAGTTGTAGTGTTTCATTCAGCAATCTCCATATTCCCATTTTAAGCTCCTTCAATGTACCAGTCTCAAAAAAATAGGGATGCTAATCTAGGGATGGACATAGGCATATTACAATGGGGGCAATCATAAATTTCATCCAATTTTAGACATCTTTCTGCAGAATCAAATGGATAGAAGAAGCCACAAATGTAGTGGAAAATGGTAAAAATGAGAATGAACTTTATCACTATTCTTATATATTATTTATCTTAGAGAAAACTGAATTGCATCCTGCCCCATATTGCCATGCAGAAATCACTCGAATGCTCAAATTGTTAAGACAAATTAAGTTAGGATAGCTGAAAAACTTTGCTAGACCTGACTGAATAAAGGTAATTATCATGCTAGAAATTCAACCTAGGCAATGAGATTCACTTTCTAGACTTCTACACTTGGCCTATGAATAAGTAAAACATATCAAACTATCACTGCTTTGCATGACATGCTACGACCAAGAATATGATAAACATTTTAATCCTATTCACTTCAGGGTAGGATGAATTTACTGTAAAGATGTTAAAGTTATGTAGGTGTACTAGCGATGAAACTTGGTCTCATGTTCAGCACAAATGCTCAAAGAAATGTAGCAGCACAGAAATCTGCTATAAGAAAACATAGCACTATGGTCAACTCACTGGTATAACTTCCAGGTTGTTTTCCAAAGCCAAGTAGACATTAGCAAGTGTCTGAGCTTCAACTCCCTGCACAATATGGTTGAACTCTAATTAGTACAAAGACCAATTTTCACTTTTAGTTGCTTTTTCAACAAAGTAAATTGAAAGCAAGTCCACAAAAATGGAAAGAGTGATTTTGCCTAAGAATGATCATTTATGAAGATAACAGAAGTAAGTGGGAAAGAAAGTTTACCTGGGATGCATCTACCACCAGAAGAGCACCCTCACAGGCAGCAAGAGAACGTGAAACCTGAGGTTTTAGCAAAATAAGTACCAACTTCAGATTGTCAACCACAACTTATTGTGTAAAAACTAATATCAATGTGTGCTCATACCTGCAAGAACATTTAAAATCTGCCATATAGTGGATAATGTGGAGTAAAGCCATATACAAAGCTGAAAATAATCTAGAAAATAAAATCCACTGGAGCTAAAATATATAGGGCAAGAGATTCACTTTAACAATATGACAAAAATATATCTATACTACAAGTCAACAACAAAGAAACTACTTGGCAAGAGCCCTCAAGTTCAGTAGATAAAATACCAAATCTCCCAAAAGATATGTATTATATTTGCTTTGGTAGATTTAACATATACATAAGGTGGGCAAGAAAAGGTGATCAACCAATGTTTTCCACTAATTCCAGATGAAGCACATAAAAATGTCAAACATTATGAAGTGGAATATTTGGAATATTCTTTTAATAACTATACTAGCGACTGAAAGGAAGTGAGCAGTTCACATACTAATGCAGACAGCTCAAAAAAATAAGTATTTGTATTCACCCCAAATCAATCTTTCAAATGTCACGACTCCTATGCAGGCAGTTACAAAAGGAAATCTAAAATTAGAGATCTTCATAACTTTTCAATAGGGAGTGGTTTTTTATTCTTTGGATTTTAGTACGTTTTCAGGTTTCACAGGTATTTGGTCCTTCTTATCAGCCACTGGGAATTTTGATAAATTTTTTTGTTCAATCTTAATTAGTTACTTGATAAAATCAGGAAACTGATTGGAGTCATGTTGATTTAGAAATACATTCAAGAGTTATATGGTTATCGGTCTAGAATAGCAAAATAGAAATCAAAATCGTAATAGGATTGTATCTTTGGACAAGTATATAGCTTGTGATTGTTCTAGTTGTTCGGTTATTTACATGGAGATTTGATCAATAGAGAATTGAGTTGTTGCTTATTAGTTTTTTTCTTTTTCTTCTTCCTCAAGATTCCCCTGAATTCCCTCTTCCTCTCCTCTTTATCCTTGTGTTCCTGTTCATTCAGAACCCTTCAGAAGCCCCATATCCTTCCTTTTGGCCACTAGAGATAGGAGACAAGATCAACCCTGTCTTGTCCACCACCATTCCTACTAACACTCTCCCTATTCAAACAGGCCAGTGCTATTTTGGAGCAAAAGAAGCAGTTTAGAAATCAATTAAAGCATATTTTCCTTGCTAATAGTTTTCCCTCTCCTCATTTTACCACCTAGATTTAATTCCTCCTAACCAG